CCCTTAAAAGAGAGACTCGCCAACTCATCACGTGACTATGGGTGATTCTGATTGGCTGGGGTATGGATGACGTGTTTCCCCTTTTTGAACATGTGTACCATAACCTGCTAGAATACACATGTGAATTGAAGCAGCTTGTGTTGCGTGTGGTTCTGACTATTTTTGGTAAGTAAATTTATCACATTTATGCAAAATTGTGAGAAAAAGTAATGTATATATTGTCACAAATAAGCTTTGAATTAATAAACGCTTCGTAGTTAAAAATAAGTAGTACGTAAGTTAAAGATACCTGTTTCATTAATAATGTGATTCTCTTGTCTTAGATTGGATTTTTATATTGATTTTGAAGATGCCAAATATATGCTGTGCAGCGAGATGTTTTAATAAATCCAGTGATGGATATGCATTAATTAGATTTCCCAAGGAAAATCAATATAAGAAAGCATGGGTAGACGCTGTTTTTGGAGAGACATCAAGATCCTTGAATAATTTGAGATTGTGTGAAGTGAGTATTCATCGTAAGAATGTTATGCAGGATCCGAATAAAAATAGTTTAAAAAGTGCTTCTCCATTTAATGCTTTCCTCATTTCAGGTTTACTTTGAGCCATCAGATGTATTGGTAGTAGGTTGCCGGAAAGAAATAAAAAAAGGTGCGATTCCATCACGTTTATGCCATTGTCTCTCTGAGAATTTTCGTAGGTCGCAAGCAAGAAAGCGGAAGAAAGACGAAGTTCATGTACGTAATGTCAAAGTGAGACTAGATAGTTCAGAGAATTTAAATAATAATCAATATATGGAGTATTTATATTCAATATAAATTTATATATGGAATTTATATATTTATTTATTTATTTATATATGGAGTATTTATATTCAATACACATCTTTACATCAATTTGTGTACAACGGTTTTAAAGTTCTCTGAGTGCATTTCAAACAAATTTGTAACGATGCACCCCCATAATTGCATCGTTCCCGGCAATACCAACTCGCCGGATGCCGCTACGGTGACCCCCGGTCACCGTATGCGATGAGAGCGCGGTGCGCTCGACACATTTTTATAAACGCAAACATAATTACAGGCTGCGAGACTTGCAAGTCCACGAAACCTGAGCGTCGCCGAACGACGCCGAGCACCGCAGCTCTCGCTCGTATTGTTCCACGCCGAGAGTCACCG